CATGGAATTAGACAATCAGTTAGGTTGGAAAAGACCCTTAAGATCATTGAGTCCAACCCTTAACCCAGCAGTGCCAAGGCCACCACTAACCCCTGTCTTCATTGGCCACATCCACATGGCCTTTGAACTCTTTCAGGGCTGGGGACTCCACCACTGCCCTGGGCAGCTTGTGTCAGGGCTGAACAACTTTTTCCGTGAAGAAAGGGTTACTGGAGAGTCAGTGAATCAAACTGATGCTGCTGAGTGCTGCTGGGGTGAGCTGGGCTGCACCCAGTGACAGGGACAGCTCTGGAGCCAGTGGCTGTTAGAACCCTGTGCCCACCAAGGGATGTCCACCAGGCAAGAAATGCCCCCTCAGCACCTCAGAGATGCTCCTGCTGATGTCCCTTTATTACTTGGTTGACTTTTCTGGACCAGACAAGGATATTTCAAAGCAATACTTGCTTAAAATTATTTTCCCAGGGTGACACCTAGACAGGCCCTTTCCTGGGGGGCTTTGGGAGGGGAACTGGGGCCGTGTCCCAGCTCAGGGCTGGAGCCCCTGCCTGCAGTCATTGCTTTGGGATGAAGTAAGTGTCCACTTGTGTGTGACAGACAAATGGAAATCTAGCCTGGTCCCAGCCCACCTGCTGCCTGCCCCGACTGCTTGACTCAGTGCTCTGTGAATATCACAGTGACAGCAAGGCTGGAAATGCTGAGCAGGGATGTGGGATTCGGGAGGTGGTAGGTAGGACACTGAGCCTGCCTACCTAAACAACCTGCTGGCATTTGTGGTTGACCACTGTGTGCTTTCCAGATGAGCTCCCTAGTTTTATGGAGATCTGAATTAACCCTGGAAAGGGGACAGGCAAAGGCAGGTACAGCAGTTGAAGGGAGGGCACACAGGAATCAGCTCCAGTAACCACCAGCAATAGCCTCCCTGACGGGGCTTGGACACGTCCTTTCTGCTGAAATTCAGGAGATTTGGGCATTTTTCTGGCCTTCTGTGATGTCTCCCATGGACTCACAGTCCACACAATGTGTGCAGGGTTGGATGTGGCCAAAGGGCACATGGTTCTCCTCTGTCCTGTTGGGTGACTTTGAATTTATCTCACTGGGGTTGGCAGTGGGGGCCCTGTCAGTCCCAGGTATCCCCTGATCCAGGCCGTGGGTGGCTCTGCTTGTTGACACCCACACTGATGCCCTGGTGCTCTGTACTCTGCCCTGGCCAAACCCATGGCTGTGCCAAGGACTCAATGATGCCATGCCCAGAGCCTGTGGTGGCCCAGGTGTGACATCCACTGCTGCTTTCACAGTCTTGCTGGGGTGCAAAGAGGCCACCAGAATCTCCAGGGATGTTCATGGGGACAGGGACAGGAGGGGATGAGCACAGAAGATGTGACAGCTTCAGGGAGCTCCTTGTTTACTCCAGGCCTTTGGCATCTTCCCTTTGCTTTACGATATGCAAGTGGGAAGGTGTCACCACCTCCTGCCGAATCTTGGAGTCCTGTTTAGGGGATGGTCCTAATCTCTGGAAGCCTCCATGATTTTACCCCAGCTGTCAGAGGCATCTTCTCTCTCCCTGCACCAGCACATCAGCTGTTGTGGTGGGGAAAGCGCTCCTGAGGCCTCTCCCATCCCATCTGCAATGGAATTCTGCTCTCCTGAACTGGGAGTCTGGCTGGATGGGCCGATCTGATGTTTTGGGGGAACAAATTCACCTCTTTGCAATGAGATCCTGTCAAGCAAATACAGCTGGAAGATGATCGACCACTGTGCTGCATAATCAGGGGGATTTGGAATAACAGTGGCATGAGGAGGATCTGATCCTTTCTGGCATAAATGGTATTGCCTATATTTAGACCTATACTCACTCAGAAAATAAGTAAGGAAATGTATCAGTGACTCGGTGGGCTGGAAATGTGGGTCAAAGCCAATTTATAAAAGTACCAGTTTTTGTAGGAAGAGATCTTTTTCTCACTGGAAGACATGGATAACCTGTATTTCAGCTAAATCCTGAAATATTTCGAGTTTCAGGCAAAAATGTTCTGATATTTAAATTATCACTAAAATTTTAATATTCAGCTCTCCCAGCTGCCTGCAGGAGCAGCCCCCTCCATGTGATTTTCATTTCCATCACCAGACTAATTTGAGCTTCCTCACTGAATACAGGGGCCTAGGACAGCCCACTCCTGTCCTGAGGTGAAATCATCTCCTGGCAGCAGTTTCTCCATCCCCATTGTGAATCCACAAGTGAAGCCATTGTGGTGGGCAAGGAAAGGTCAATCCCACCTCTGGAGCCTTTGGGAAACCCTTTGACTTGGAATCAGGACCTTTGCCATCAACAGCAGCAGCTCCTCAGTGTTTCCCTGCTGGGGTTTGCTCAGCACCCAGCACTTGCCCAACATATGAATAAACAAGATGCCAATAAACTCTAGTAACATGGCCCAGATAAGAGTGGGTGATAAACCATGTTGATTCATCTGCTCATAACCTATTAGTCACCCGCTGAGTCAACAGAGCAGAAGCATCCAGACATCATGGAGCAGGTTGACAGACCCAAGTTTCTTTCAAATTGAGAGCTTCAAGTGAAATTATTGCATTGATGATCTTTATTTTTCCTGGGGAAAGTATTTCATTTTCAGCTGCACTCCCCCAAACAGAAATCAGAGAGAAATCTGAGGGCTCATTTCCTTATGAAATGGAGTTTTGGTATTGATTTATTTTTCTTTCTGAGCTCTTTAAATTACTTATCTTAACATAGAATCAAAACAAGCCCTTTTTTTTTTTTTTGCGATGAAGTGGGGTTTTTTTGTTCAGATTAGACATCATGATTGAGAAAGGCACAGGGAAGATGCCTGAGCAGATGTTTGGGGGAGTCTGGAATTGGCCACCTGTGAGCTGATGGAAAGAGTCATCAAGGCATGGCCCATGTGGAGGGGTCAAGCAGAGGAGTCAAGGAGGGGGCCAAGGTCATCCAAGGCACGATGAAATCCTGGTGGGCCAAGGTATGGAGAAACCAGAGCTTCTCCACTTGGCCCCTGGGAGCCAAAGACAGCTGGAGCAGGATGGATGGATGATCCTCTCCAGCCCTTCCTTGCCCTGCTGGGCAGCAGGACTTGTCCTCTCTCTGGCTAGAGCAGCTGCAGGGAATTTTCTGGTTCATGACCCTCTTGGCAATTTTGAGCCACTCCAAGGTGTTCTGGGCAGAAGAGGAACTGTCAGGATCCATTCATGCAGGCACCAGAAATGCCTGGGAGCCCCATATCACTCTCTCCTGCCTCAAGGGTCTCATCCCTCAGGCATTGCAAGGGAACTTTGGGTAATGCAGAACTTTTATTACTCATATTCCTCCTCACTGGGGAAATAATCAAGGAACATCTGGGTTATCACACAGTTTGGGGCAAACAGACCCACCCTGAGGCACCAACATTATCTCATGGTATCCTGGCTTTGTCCTGCTGCCAAAAGACCAGGAGACAAAAACAATATCCCTCCTGAAGCAGGAGGGTCATGCTGCTCCAGCTGGGGTGCACCCCTCAGGCTCTTCTTTGGGATCTCACCATGCATTCAAAGACCAGCCTGGCCAATGGGGCTTTGCTCTTGTTTCTCTCCCTCCCATTCCTGATCACAGCTCCACCCACTTGGAAAACCAGCCCCTTGTTAGCAAAGCTGGGATTATCTGGCCTGGCAGAGAACGTGCTTCATGCTTTGGCTGTCTTGGAGATGCCTCTTGGCCCTCATGTCCATGTCTGGAGATGTTTCCTGGGGACCACAGAACTGTGAGCCCATGGACCAGCACCCAGGAGAGCCAGGCTTGCTTGGCTACTTCAGAGCAGCATCCCTGGAGATGAGAATTTGCTGGAAAATGGGAAAAACACTCTCTCAACCCTAATTGAAGGAAGGTTAGTGATACAGAGACACTTCTAGTAGTGTCATGCACAGCATGAGGGCAAATAAGGGAACAGGAGCAAGGAGAGAGTGAGTAGTTTATGACCCATAGAATTAATGGGGCTTTCCTGGGTCACTGGGGGGATTTGGGGTGAATCTGAGTTTGGGGGTAACAGTAGGGTGGCTGATCATGAGTTCTGGGGTGACATAACACACCTTGTCTCCATGCTCCATGGACAAGGATGGCTGATTGAGCAGAACAAAGGCTGGAGAACATGGCATAGGGCTGGTGAGTGATTTATCTTCCCTAGAAATGTGGGTTAGGGGTGTGGGCAGCTGAGTTGGTCCAGTTGACTCAAAGGTTGTCTTCCAGCCTCTTTCACCCCAGTGGGTTTGGGGATGAGGCTGAAGAAGGGCAGAGGAACCAGAGGGGTCTGGGGCTACAGGGACTGTGGGAGGATCTGAGGGGGAGCAGGTGGGTAGGGGGGTCAATGCAGGATTAACAGGGAGGGCTTGAGGTGGTTCTGATGTTAATCCAGGGGCTAAGGAAGGCAAGGGGGATGAGGGGGTCCAGGGAGACTCTGTGGGGACTGGGAGGCAGTAGGTGACTGAGGAGGTGGTGGGGGGTGGGGAAGCCCTTAGCCAGAGGGGTGCTGATGCTGGGGACAGGAGCCATGTCCCTAAAGAAAGGTGACCTGGCCCTGGCCTACCCAGTCTGAGTGAGCCCAAGGGGGCCGCTGGGGGGGCCGGGCCCATGTGCTGCTATCCCATAGGAGGGGGCAGCTGGGGCTGCTGAATGTGCAGGTCCCGGGTGGCTATTCCTGGCAGCCCCGCCTGCGCAGGCAGATTGGTTTGCAGGGAGGTGACAAGTGCCAGCCAAAGCCTATAAAAGTCACCCAGCCCCTGTTCTGGCTCAGTGACCTGGTTCCCCCCTCCAAGCACAGCCGGAGCAGAGACCATTGGCCCAGAGTGGAGACACCTGGTCCTGAGCCGGGACCCCAACCTCAGAGTCCAGACCCCAGATCCGGAGGAGAGAACTTTTATCTGGAGCAGGAACCCCAAAACAGAGAAGACACCCCGGAGCAGAGACCCCAGAACATCCCTTCGCCCAGCCCCTACGCTCTGCAGCCATGACTGGCAAAACTGCACCGGCAGCCAAAAAACCAGCACCGGCCGCGGCCAAGAAAAAGGCAGCGCCAGCCCCCAAGGAAGGAGCAGCCCCGAAGGAAGAAGTGGCCCCAAAGGAAGAAGCAGCCCCAGCCCCAGCAGCAGCTACTGAAGAGCCCCCAGCCCCCGAGCATCCCCCGGAGCAGCCCCCAGCTCCCACAGATGAATCTGCTCCCATCCCCACGGAAGCTGGAGCAGAAGCAACTCCAGCGCCTGCAGAAGATTCCACAGCTGCCCCAGCTGAACCCCCAGCCCCTGAACCTGAAGTGGAGAAACCAAAGGAAGGTGAGTGGGGAACACTGGAATGGGGAGGGGACATAAGCAAGGCTGGGAGGGGGCATGTGCCGGGGAGAAGGGAGGGGGGGATGAAGTCATCAAGGATATTTTTGCAGTGGGAGAGGGCTGGGGATTAGGTGGACTGAAGACAGACCTGGAGGTTGAGTGATTGCCCTCCAAGAGCCCTGGTAGTCGAGCCCTGCCATCACCACTGTGGGTTTGTTACAGAGCCACCCAGCTGCCCCTTGTCCTTGGCTGTGGAAGAAGTGAGTGAAAACTCATTCACGCTGACCTGGAAAGCCCCGGAGCAGATGGGCCGGGCAGGCCTGGATGGATATGTGGTGGAGATCTGCAAAGATGGAAGTAGGTTTGGTCTTTCCTGCCTCATGAGCATGGAGAGGTGGTGCATGGTTGTGGGATGGGATGAAGTTGGGTAGATCCCAGCAGAGTATTTCCCCCAGCAACAATTCCCTTTCTTTGCCCAAATGGATCCATTTTGAATGGTTATTGTTTTTCCATGAAGGAACAGGGAATCCCATTGCCTTCAGACAGTAGTGGTGACTTTAGCAGGGGCTTGGAGCAGGTTTAGAGTTACTGCTGTGTCCAGCTCTAGGAGGGAGAAGAGACCAGCACACCCTCTGGGGATGGTCTCTGATGAACTCCAGAGCCGCAGAGACCCGGGGCTGGGATGGCATTTCAAGAAAACAGGAGGAAAAAGTTCAACCCTCCCATGTTTGCCCAAAATGAAGCATGGAAGGAATGGGGATAAAATGGGAGGATGAGGAAGGGAAGGGTCCTGGGCATGTATCAGCAGACTTGATAATGTCTGGAAGGAGGGTGGCTGTGGTGGATGGAGGTGGGCTGGGAGGTGGCAGCAGTTGTCCAGCAATTGTCCATGGTTCTCCAGTTGTACTGCTGGGAGGTGGAACAAGGTGAGTGGATAAGATTTGTGTTTTGGGCACTCTCTTGAAGCCCTGCTGGGCTTTCAGCTAAGATTGAAGGGTCTGTGTGGATGGGGGGATCTGCAAGGGGAGGCTGGGCTGGAGTGGTTTGGGAGACCCAGGTGGCCCATGCACCTCAGGGAACTTGATCCTCAGCTGTTTAGCTTGTGGCACACATGATGGACACATTCTTGGCTGTGGGAGGCTCCCACTGTTGGGCTGCAGGTGGAGAGGTTACCACAACTGGGTGGGATGCGTGAGGAGGTCTTTGCATGGGACAAGGAAAGATGCAGCCATTCCTGGAGGGATCTGTCTGATAGCCACCCAAAGGGCCCAATCTGGGTGCTCTCCTGGCTTGCTTTGGGTCTGCTTCAGGACAGGAGAACTCCAGTCCCTCTGTCATCACCCAGGAGCCACGGGCCTGCTGTATTTGGGTGGGTACAAGACTCTGATTGGCTAAAATATGGTGAGATTTGAGTGAGGGCTGATTTGGGTAATGCCAGTGGTGAAGGGAAAGAGGATCTGATGGGATTTGGCTGCTCCAGTGGCATTGACAAGAAAACTTTCCTGTTCTGAAGGTGCACATGGGGGACCCTGGCATTTGTGGGTCACTCTCATTGCCCACTTGGGACACTCACTCCCTGGGATACTGGGGCAGTTTATTTTCTAAGTGAGAAACATCTTGAGAGGTTTGGCACATGGCAAAGCCAGGTTAGCTGGGGCTGGACTCTGGGTTGAGTTTGAGACATCCCTTACAAGCGGGAAGAACAATTGGAGAGGTCCATCTGGCCGGGGCAGGCCCTGAGCAGACCTTGATCGGTGTGGAGGGGTTTGTGGAGGCCATGGTGAGTCCCAGTGTTGTCCTGGGGCAGTGAGAGGAGCAGAGTGGCTGGCAGAGAGCTCCAAGGATCTTTCGTTTCAGAAATGCACCTGGTCAGCAGGGACGTGTTCGCTGGCCTGATGCCTTTTCTTGCTTGCAAATGTCCTCGTGCTCCAGTGCTGAGCTCCTGCCAGCACTTCATACCCCACACTCCTTGGCAGGGGTGGCCAACCTCCTTGCCAAAGCTCCTTTTTCTGCTGGTGCTCCAAATCCTTCCCCATTTCCAAGGAAAGGATTCTTTGCCTCTGGGTCTCACCTTCTGGGCCTTGATCCTGCTGCTCAGGGTGTGTCTGTCTATCCATGGCACATCCAAAGTGCTGTGCTGGGTCTGTTGCAGGTTCAGACTGGAAAGCTGTGAACCAGGAGCCTTTTCTTTCCACCCGCTGCACAGTCCCAGACCTCAGTTCTGGGGACAAGATCCACGTGCGGGTGGTGGCCGTCAGTGCCAGCGGGACCAGCGCCCCGGCCACGCTGGAGCAGCCCGTGCTCATCAGGGAGATCCTCCGTGAGTACTGCTCCTGAGGGCACAATTTCTGTGCCAAAGCTCTGTCCATCCCTGGAGGCAGCATGAGCAGCCTCTCACGGGTCCCCATCCAGTCTTTGACAGATGTTATTCTCAGTGACTGTTTGCTGACCTCTCCAATCTTGCTGATGTAGAAATTTTGGGGTGAAGGACTCAAAAGGCAGAGCCACATTTTCCCATTTAATGGCAAGAGCTCAGAATCCACCTCCCCTGAGCATGTCTCCTCCCCTTGGCAGTGTCACATCCCAAATATGCTACGGCACACATTGGACAGCTTTGTTTATTTAGCTCAGGGAAGTCAAGAGCTGGTTGTCTGGAGCATGGGAACTTTAATCATGCTGAACTCGCTAATGAATGAGTTGTTCCCATGCTTAGCAAGACTCACATTCCTCTCAGGGTGCTGCCAATGTGCAGAGGCTGATGCAGGAGGGCAGGGCCTGTTTGCACCCAGCAAACAGCAAATACAGAATCATTTTCCCTCTAGAAGGAATTATTAATGCTCAAGGTTTCCTGTTATTTAGCACATCAGATTTTTCAGCTGCTTAAAAATAGAAATACTAAGAAAAATTATTCCTGGAACCACCAGCTTTTCATAAGAAAAGGCTTGGAGAAGACTATCAGCCCATGGAAAGGGTCCTGCAGGGTCCATCTTCTCAGTGTGCTTGGAGGAGGTGAATTTGGCTTTGGGGTGGTGGCTGCACCTGCTCACCTCTGATCTCAAAACCATCCCACCAGACCTCATAGGACTGGGAAAACTGGGGTGTGAGAGACTGGCATGAGATGGTCAATGTACAGCTCATGCTTTCCACACCCTGCACCTGCTGCCCGAGCTTTGTTCCAGGCACATGTACAAGTGTAAAACCCAAAAAGCTGAGAGACCCCCACACAACCTGATCTACTGGGCCCTTCCCTTCCCTTCCCTTCCCTTCCCTTCCCTTCCCTTCCCTTCCCTTCCCTTCCCTTCCCTTCCCTTCCCTTCCCTTCCCTTCCCTTCCCTTCCCTTTTCCCTTCCCTTTTCCCTTCCCTTTTCCCTTCCCTTTTCCCTTCCCTTTTCCCTTCCCTTTTCCCTTCCCTTTTCCCTTCCCTTTTCCCTTCCCTTTTCCCTTCCCTTCCCCATCTGCTGCCTCCTGGCCCTCACATTTTCTCTCAGCCTGCATTTTGTGCATCTCACCAGTTCATTTATAGCACCCCAGGGGATTTTAAATAGCAGCAATGGGACAGCACGGAGCTTAACAACAGGTGGGATGAGTGGGCTTGGGAGGTGGAGAGAGACAAGGAGAAACCAGATGAAGGATCAGTATGGGAGTCACATTTTCCCGGGAAAAGGGCAGGAAAAAAGGCCTTCCCACCATGGCACTTTGTCACTGTGGCCACTGACCTTGGCCAGCCCAGTCCCTCTGAGAGAAGCACTGGGGATCTGGGGAAAACATCCATGAATTAACATTCCTGCCCGAGGTCAGGTTTCCCTCCCCTGCTGAGACTGATGAGCCCAAGTGGCAGCAGGGGGATGGATCCCTGCAGAAATGGCAGCACGAGCAGAGCAGGGACGGTCTCAGCTGTCAGGCAGGGCCTGTCCCTGCTCCCCAGCCCTCACAGCTGTTTGGCTCAGGCCTGGTTTATTCTGCCTGGGCCCCCTCCCCAGGGTGCAGCTCGTGCACATTTAACCCGGGCAGAGACTCCCAGCTCCTTCTGAGGGGCTCCAGAGGGATCCCTGGCTATCACTGAGCCAGCAGAGTTGTTCGGCTCCTGTTCTGCCCTGGGAAGGGGACACGCTCCATGAGGATTCTCCAGTGGGCATTTTGCTTGTCTTTGCTGTGTTTCCTTGGAGATGTTTGCCTTTCACAACTCTGGTATGACCAGGCACCTCCTTGGTGTTTCAGAGGCCTGGACTGCACAGGGAAGGTGGAGGTTGAGCCTTGTCCTTGCTGAAAGTTGGGCTGTATGCCTCTGGAAAGTCAGGGGGAGAAATATTTCCCAACTGGGAGATGCTGTTCCCTGCCTTGTTACAATATAAGTTGTGTTGTGGCTCTTCTGGTTGAGGCCAGGCTGTGTCCATGGCCAGGAAGTAATGAAGAGGGGTGAATGGTCCATCAGAATGCTGCCCCTGGGTTGGTGACTGGGATCTCAGGGACAGCTGTCACTCTGGGGTACGGGCAGTGGGACAGGTGAGCACAGCCCTGCAGGGGAGCAGAGCTGTCCAGGAGAGGAGAGGGAGAAGGTGGCCATGTTGGGATGGATTTTCTTGGTGACCAAGCAGGGTATGTGTGGAGAGGGCCAGCCAGCTGAGGAATGGGAAGTTCCTGGTCTCACAATGTGAACTCTGTCCCCAGAGCTCCCGAAGATCCGCATGCCTCGGCACCTGCGGGAGACTTACATCAGGCGTGTGGGGGATGCTGTGAACATCATGATCCCCTTTCAGGTACCTGGGCAATTTGGGCTTTAATCTATTCACTCCAGATTAGCTCCTGCAGGTTAGCTTATGGGTCCAACTGTGCTCTGGCTTGGCCTGGTCATTGTGTCTTATGGGCCAAGGGTGAGTGATGGGCTGGGAATCTCTCTCCTCTTCCTGCCCAGATTCCATTTTCCCCCTGCTACATCTTTGTTGATGATGCTACAGTGGGACAGCCCCAAACACATTTGGACATGGACTGGCTGTTGCTGCTGTCTCAGCCAATAAGTCCAGTTCAGCTCGTGCTCCTGGCCAGGATCTGGCCACATGCCTTGGGACCCCATAGCACAGCACTGAGGTCCCTGGAGGGGACCAGCTGCCTTTGGAGGAGGGCAGGCCCAGGGCTGTGTGATGGTGGAGCAATGCTGACAGTGGTGGGCTAGGCTGGAGGTCGTCTCCTCAGCTATCTCTCTCATCATGTCTGGGACATCACCAGATGTAGTGGCAGCTGGCTCTGAAACATGTTGGGCAAGCAGAGGGAGTGAGAGGCCCCTGAACTGAGGGGCTTGTCCATGCCATGCCTCACAGACTCTGTGCTGACCATGCTCCAGATATGAATTTTCCCTGCATGCTGAGTTCAAGCCCTGGTGCTAAGCTGGAGCCTGGGCTCAGCACAGCTGTGCCCTGGCAAGTACAGCTGGGCTTGCCCCATGAGGACCTTGGGGAGCCAGCATGCTCCCACCTCATCCCTGGAGCCTGATGGCTTCCCATTAGTGAGTCTGGCAGGAATCAGCTTCTTTCCTGCAGGATGGGAGAGGTGGCCCTTGGGCTGCTGCTGCCTGGACAGGGGGAGTGGCTCTGCCACCCGTCCTTCCCAGCAGGACCCATGCCCGAGTGGCTGCTGACCTGCCTGTGTCTGCAGGGAAAGCCGCAGCCCGAGGTGAGCTGGAGCAAGGGAGGGCAGCCCCTGGACAGCAGCCACATCAACATCCGCACCACGGCCCGGGACACCATCTTCTACATCCGCCAGGCCCAGCGCACCGACTCGGGCAAGTACGAGCTCACCGTGCACATCAACGGCGCCGAGGACAAGGCTACCCTGGACATCCAGGTGGTTGGTAAGCTGAGGATGGCACCCTGCAGGATCACTCTGGAGCTCTTTTCTCCTCCTTAGTTGGGTAGGTCTTGTTCTGGGTGGGATGTGATGTGATAGCAACAAGGCAAAGGACTCCGGAGTCCCTGTTCCAGTGGGATCCTCAACAGGATCATGCATGTGAACTTCTCTGGGTGGGAATGCAGAGTTTCTGCCAGCCTTGCCCCTCAGCTTCTCATCCCTTGTGTGCTGCACCAGGGTGAGAAGAGATTAAAAGCAAGGTCAAGGGATGGCCAAGGTACAGAATGTGGGGGGAACAAACTGGGATGTCACCCTGAGGGTGTTTGTGTTTGCAGAGCCACCCGGCCCTCCCCAGAACCTGAAGCTGGTGGATGTGTGGGGCTTTAATGTGGCACTGGAGTGGACCCCCCCTGCGGACAATGGGAATGCTGAGATCAAGGGCTACAGGGTGCAGAAGTCAGACAAGAAGAGTGGGGTGAGACTGGGCACTCCTGCTGCTGGTGATGCCCTGATGGGAGAGGGACTGCTGCACTCCCTGCCCCACCCCACACCTTCTCCATCCTTATCACAGCCTGTCTTTCCTCACTGCTCTCTTTTTTCCTCCTTTTTTTCCTTCCAGAAATGGTTCACGGTGCTGGAGCGCTGCACCCGCACCAGCTGCACCATCTCCGACCTCATCATTGGCAACACCTACTCCTTCCGAGTGTTCTCCGAGAACATCTGTGGGCTCAGCGACAGCGCTGCTGTGGCCTCTGGAGTGGCCCACATCGAGAAGACAAGTGGGGACATGTCCCTGGCTGAGGGGCTGGGGAGGGTGCTGTCCAAGAGTGGTCCTGACCAATGGGCCACTGGGGTTTCCTTGGAGTTGTGTTGATGCTGCTGGGCTAGTCCCCAGGACAAGACCAGCAGGGGTGAGGCTGAGCACCCCCAAGGTCCAGAGGTCCCCAGTCCCCTCTCTGCACCTCATTTCTCCTCTGTGGAAAGCTTGTACCATGCTCAGCCCCCTGGAAGAACCAAGACATGGACATCCCTGGGATGAGATGGAAGCAGGAGTTGGGAAGAGTCAGACCAGCCCTGGCCTTTCGTCCACAGCTCAGGGTCAAATCTCCAACCAGCCCTGCTCTCCTTCCATCTATTTCTATCCTGCTCCCTGGTAGCACACAGTGACCTAGGGTCTCTGCTATCTGCAGAGCTTCCCTCCAACTCTTATTTCTGTGGATGAGATTTGGGGATAGAGTGGGAGATTCAGAGTGTGCCCAGCCTGGGTCTCACCTGCTGCACACGGGATGTGTCACAGTGGGGTTGGCATCCCCCCTGTTCCTTGCAGGGCCTGGGCACTGCTATGTCATGATTGGATGAGGAAACAGGGCTGCTCTGAGCTGAGGGCCAGGTCCTTGGGTCAGGCCAGGTGACATCTTGCTTCCTACAAGAGGGAACAGAAGTGGGTTTGGGTACCTTGTGCTGAATTCCTGTGTTGGTCAGCCTGGGAGCCTGAGGTCTCAGCTAGAATTAATTATTTCCTTAGAAACCACTTACCAGCCAGAGAAGATCCCCCAGCGGGACATGATGGAGCCTCCAAAGTTCACGCAGCCCCTGACAGACCGAACGACCACACGGGGCTACAGCACCCACCTCTTCTGCTCCGTGCGGGGCTTCCCCCAGGTCAGTGCCTCCTCCAGGGACACCATAACCTTTCCTGGGGACACCTGGGGGGGTTTGCAAGGTGGCTGGAGGTGGGAGACCATCTGGGATATGGTTGGTGCTGTTGGATTAGGGTTGGGTGAGGTTAAGGAGCTGAAGCTGCCCTCTGAGTTAAACTGGGGCACGTTTGGGGTGTTTCTGCATGGAGATGGGAGACTGGTCCTAAATCAAGCCATGTCCTGTTTCCTCTGTGCTGGGGGAGGAAGGGTGGAGCAGTGGTTAGGGCTCACAAGTCGGAGATTTGGATCTTCAAAATACTTCTGACTGTGAATCCCACCATGGCCACAAGCTTCAGGCAGGGCCAAGGCAAAAGCAGAGACAGGTGCCTGTATTTTGGGGACAATTAGATTTCTCATTTCTCTCCTTGCTTTAAACTTTTAGCCCAAAATCATCTGGTTGAAAAATCAGATGGAGATCCGGGAAGATCCCAAATACATAGCACTGATTGATCAGGGTGTGTGCTCCCTGGAAATCCGCAAGCCTGGCCCTTTTGATGGGGGCGTCTACACCTGCAAGGCTGTGAACCCCCTGGGGGAAGCCTCAGTAGACTGCAAACTGGATGTGAAAGGTGAGAGTGGGTTGGAGAAGGAGGAGCAGGAACCCTTGCCTGCCTTTTCCAGGTCTCACTTTCCCAGTGCTGTGGTTTGTCTCTGTTTTGGGTTGATCCTGGTTGTGAGGGAGTCTAAGAACACTGGACAGCCCTGTGGAGCTGCACCTTTGGGCTGCTTGGGTTTATGGTCTTGAAGCATCTTGAAATCACCTTTCCTTATTCATGGGGAAAATATGGGGAGGAAATCAGAAATGGCAGAGCCAGAAGAGCTGCTGGAGGCCAAGCCCAGCACTGGCTGCCCCTGCTCTTGTCCCAGGAGTGGCGGGGTGGGGGTGTGTGGGGTGTCTGTGAACCTCCTCCCCTGCATCTGGGCTGCTCTGATTTATGTCTTGGCATCCTGCCCACATTTCCCACTCACATTTCCCTGCCTCAGCAGAGCATCCAGAGCAGACCTGCCCCGTGTTGCTCCCCACAGCTCCTGCTTGGCCCACAGGAGGATCACTGCCCACACACCCTCTGTGTGTTCCTGTGCTGGCTGGGTGTCCTTGAACACTTATATTTCCTCTCCTGTGGCTTCCAAGCACACTCTTGCCCCCAGACACACTCTGCCCCACTTCCCACACAGGCAGAGCTCCAATCTGGCAACCCCAGCACCCCAGTCCCTGTGGAAGCTCCAGAGCTGTTGGTGTGGCACAGGGTCAGTGCTCAGCTCTGTGCGAGCTGCTCTGGACCCTCCGGGAGCACTGACCCAGCTGGCCCCGGTCCTGTGGCCCCACAGGCACATCCTCAGCGCAGCTGAGCAGGGGCTCTCAACAGAGCAATGATCTGGGTGGGAAGGGACCTAAAGCTCACCCAGTCCCACTCTCTGCCATGGGCAGGACACCTTCCACTAGCCCAGATTGCTCCAAGCCCTGTCCAACCTGGCCCTGAACATTTCCAGGGATCCAGGGGCAGCCACAGCTTCTCTGGGTAACCTGGGCAAGGGCCTCACCACCCTGACAGGGAGCAATTCCTTCCCCATTCTCCCATCCATCCCTGCCCTCTGGCAGTGGGAAGCCATTCCCCCTTGTCCTGTCCCTCCAGGCTTTTGTCCCAAGTCCCTCTCCAGTGCTCCTGGAGCCCCTTTAGGCACTGGAAGGGGCTCTGAGGTCTCCCCAGAGCCTTCCCTTCTCCAGGTGAACACGCCCAGCTTCCTGGCCTGGCTCCAGAGTAGAGGGGCTCCAGGGCCTCAGAGCAGCTCTGTGGCCTCCTCTGGGCTGGCTCCAGCAGCTCCAGCTCCTTCCTGTGCTGGAAGCCCAGGGCTGGGGCAGCTCTGCAGGTGGGGCTTCATCTGAGTGGGGCACAGGGGCAGAATCCCCCTTCCCCTGCTGCCCACGCTGGGGGATCAGCCCATCTGGCCAAGGAGGATGAGCTGGGCACTGTGCTGGGGACACAAACACCTGGGAGTCACCCAGGCTGGGACCTCAGGAACACTGGCCAGGAGCAGGCAGGGATGGTGGAGTGTGGGATTGCTTGTAGTAGGTGTGTGCAGGGATGGAGTGTGCAGGGTTGAGATGTGCTGGTGCACATTGGGGTGAGCACACAGCACTTCTGGGAGTCAAAAGAAGAGTAAGACCAGGGGAGTTCAAGGGGTTTTTGTCTCCTGTGCTCTTCTACAGTGCCAAAGTGAGGACAGATTGGAGGACAAGACAAAGAGCAAGGTAGGTCTGGGTTGGGGCACCAGGATGGAGGGAAGGTGGATCCCTTCAGGGGGCTGGAGTGGGCTGAGTGTCCTGGATTAGCCCTGATGATGGAGTTCCAGCTCAGGTCTTCCTTGTCCCATGGATGGAGATGCATGGGTGGGGTGATGAACCTGAGGGAAACCTGTCCCTTGGTGAGGTGGAGGGAGGGCTGTAAATGTGGCTGGGTTTGTCTTGCATTAGAGCTGTGGCAGGGACGTGTTTCCCACCCATCCCTGACCAGGGCTCTCTTGGTGCCCTTGCAGGACTCGGATCTCGTTCCTTTTCCCAGATGGATCCTGCAGGTGCCAGGCATGGTGGGGCCGGTGCTGTGCCCCTGGCCATGGTCTCTGCTGCCTGCTGCACTGCCCCTCCCTGGCAGTGCTTTGGGGGCTGCACCTCAGCCTGCCATGGCACGGCCCTCTCTGAACCTGTCATTAGCTGTGACAATAAAACAAACCCAGCTGAGGGGATTTGGTCCTAATAAAAGCCACCAAACGCCTCTGTCCTGCTTATTGTGGGGTTGGCTTGGGTGGGGAGATGTGGAGAGCTGCCAGGGAGTTGGAGAGCTGCTGTTAGAGTCATATGGGATCCAACCAAGGATAGAGGAGATGGGTTTTGAGCTTGGAAAGGAAGGACCAGCACATAGAGAGATTACTGAACCAGAAGGAGCCCAACAAAGAGAAAGAGAATGCAGAAAGATTTCCTTCTGGAGCAGGGGAATGATTCTGGCTGGGGAAAAAGAAATGCCACATCAATGTTACAGCATCTTAATGCTTCTTTATTGAAGCACAGTTTTTTTTATCCACACCAGTGAGGCAATGATCCAGCCAGGAGCTTTCACCTCCCCAAGTGACAGGACATGTTGATGTTTTACCCAGAGGAGGGGACTCATCCCTGTGAGCTGGTGGCTCATGCGCAGGGTGAGTCATCACTTGAGCTCTGGGCCAGCTTGGGGCAGACACTGAGGGTCACCAGAGCCCAGATGGACCCATGGAACACAAGGTTACCTGGGGCCAGTGGCGTGGGGTGATCTCTCCACTAGCACTGCCTCCCCCCTCAGTCTGGGGCACGAGGGTAGGAGCTCTCCCAGCTGTGTGGCAGCTCTGTCATGGGCCCAGACTCACGTCCTGCCTGTGTCCTGGCTGGCCCTGGAATTGTCAGTGTAGATGCAAATCCAGCCTGGCAGCCACAGATCGGAGCCCATCCCACCCTTGGTGCCATGGAGAACAAAGCTGGGCAGTGCCTGTGGTTAATCAACCCCCTCTCTGCACCATCTCTCCTGCAGCCCCTCTGCTTTGTCCCCATCTGTTCCCAGGCACCTACAGCCCAAGATGAAGTCCAGGGAGTGTTACTAGTCCTGTGAGGCTCAGTAATGCCAGGTGCAGCACCGTTCACACCAGGGTTGTTTGTTTCCACCATCAGAGGGCATTGTTGGATTAATTTTATCCCACTGCTGGTCAGGATGGATTTTCGAGGTGGCAGGTACTGGTGGTAATGACACAGAGCAGAGGTTGCAGTCCCAGCTGGCAAGGGCAGAGCTTGTTTTCCCCAGAATGCTCATACCCAGCCTAGACACTGCTGGGGGTGTCCTGTCCCCTTGGTGTCCCTGGTACCTGGGCACGTGGCCTTGGCCAGTGGGATTCTTTCAGGGACAGGGTCCGGAAGCAGGCTGTGAGCTGATCTCCAGGACTCTGTTATGCTGCATGCTGTGCCCTTTCCAGGCCCTTATTTCAGTCCTACAGAGCACAGACTGGGTTTGTAACCTGTTTGTAATCCCACAGGGGATGGAGGTGGGTGACAACATCCACTTTTAGTGAGGGCTCCCCCACAGGGACAGGTCTGGAGAGCACAGAGTGGAAAAATACACTTTATGCTATTTTTAATGAAGCAATCATTCACATGCCCTTTAATTTATGAGCATCCCAGTTGCCAGGTTCCTGGTTTCTTTAGCAAGGATCAGGCCAAAGGGTCAGTTCCAGAAAAGCAGCAGAAATAAGATGCAAGTGGGAGTCAGAGCTGGGCAAACAGCAGCACTGATCTGAAGGCTGCAGAGCCAGGGGACCACGGCCTCGGCCTGGGGTCCTCTCTCGTCCTCACTAACCTGGGCTTGCAGCATCCTCAGGTACCACTGATATTGGTGCTCCATGAGACCTGAGGCTCTTCTCTCTGCCCTTTCCAGGAGATGCTGGCTCCGGCCAGAGCTGGCACAGGACATGGCACAGGAGTCACTGCACTGGGCAGAGGAGCATTGGGCAGATATGGGGTGAGCCAAAGCCTCATGTGAGAGGCTCAGTGCTGGCCCCAGGGCACCTGGTGATGCCTGGGAGGGGGGTGGGGGCTGAAGTCTGTGGGGAATTGCTGTTCCCAAGGGCTCAGCAGCAGCACAGAACCATCTACACCATGGGAAGTTTGGGAGGGTGTTCAGGACCCCTCTACTGTGATGAGGACTAAGGGAAGGATTTTCTCCTGTCCTTGCCATTGTTTTTCTGCTCTGCTCCGTTTGTCCCCAGTGCTGTCTGAGCCAGGAGCCTGGAAATACATCAAGGCCCCTGCAAAATGTGGGTGGCTGAGCCTTTCATCTCCTCTCTTCCTTGCTGCCCTCCTCATCCCTCTGAGCTAAATAGAGCTGGCTGCAGCAGTGGGAGAAGGGACTCCTGGCTGCCCCAATGCCTGTGCTGCACACTCCCAATATTGCTAAAAATCACCCATAAATCTCACCCATCCAAGGTCCTTCTCCCCTCTGCACCCCCAGTCTCTGTGGGAACTTGCTGCAGTCACTTTGCTCATTGCTGACGTCCCCTCTGAGGAGCACGACCCTGCTGGGGCAGGGCAGGGCCACAGGATCTGCTTCCAATGGGAGCCTGGTGAACAAGGGATGCTGATAAGAAAAGAATCCAAATCTACTCAAATTTTTCCACCACCGCTTCAGCCCTGGAGGAGGAACTGGCACTTCCAGAAGGACCAGAGCTGGATGAGGGATAGTCCGTCCAGCCAACCCCTCCTCAAATCTCTCCACAGCTGAACTTCAGTGGTGGCAAAGTGCCCTGTGGCAACATCAGCACTCACATGGTGGCCTGTAGCTGTCCCCCACTTGCTCCCAGAGGGGTCCATGTTCCCCTGCCTCCTGCGCTCTGGAGGTGTCTGCATTAACCCACAATGTTTGAGTCAAAAGAGTTTGGCTGCACAGAAAGGGTGGGAGGGAACAATATGGGAGGTGTGAGATGAACAGCCTGGGAGAGATTTGCTACTGCTTTTCACAGAAAAGAGCCAGGAGAAAGGAGGGAAAATGACTCAAAAACCAGAGTAAAAGGAGAGAGAAGACAAGTGGAGAGGATACACTCCCTTGGGTACAGCTCACAGGGGTGGTGGGTGCTGCTGGGACCCATGGGGAACCATTTGGGAAGCAAAAGCAGTTTCTGCAGAGTTCTCTGGGATTATGCTTAAGTGTTTCACCAACACCCACCTCTGCCTACCTCTCTGGTAGTACTGAGAGCTGGAGACTGACCCTTTGCTCTGCGGGGTAGTGGGTTCACTACCCTATGGGTGCTGGCAATGCCATGGGAAGACTTTTCCTATCTCTTCCCATGTGTCAGCCCAGCTCACCTCTCCCTGGTTGCAGAGGGGAAAGAAAGGGCTTTCAAACTTAATTTCTTCCAAAATCCCAGTGCCCTGGATTCTCCTGGTTCTCAGCACCTTCACTCCCACAGGGCACCCCTTTGTCCCAGTGCCCAGGTACCCCCATGGCTCCATGGACATGGGGCCAGAGCGTGAGGTGCCCCCAGCACCACCAACACCGTGGAGCTGAGGGTCTCCATCAATGGCAGAGCACCTCCTGGGTGGTTTGGATCACTGGACTTTATTTGCATGAAGATAAATTGCGTATTTGTCTGTACAATTTCTCCTTAAATACTTGGCAATGCTTAAAAAAATGAAAAACAAAAACAATCAGGGAGAAAAAATCCTAAACCAGAAAGGAACAGTGCAGGCTACAATATCCAAACAGTACAATGCTTGTGAATAAATAACCCCCTGGGGTGGCTGTAGGGACTGCAGGGGGCCGCTGAACTCAGAAGCCATCAGGTCCTTGCTACCCCTTCCTGAGACAGCAGGAACAGCGTCCAGGTGGGACTGGGTGGGCACAGATGCCCCTCCCTGCCCTCTCCCAGTTCCTAGTTGCCTGTCTCGGCTGTGGTGGTGCTGGTGGCGTTTTTGTTGGTTTTGCAGCAGAAGTACTGGTTCCAGATCTGCAGGAAGGCTGTCCGGAACTTCTTGATGCGGAAGGCGTAGACAATGGGGTTCATGGCCGAGTTGCCGTGGGTGAGGAAGATGGCGATGTAGGTGAGGATGTGCGGGGTCTGGCAGGACGGGCAGAACAGGGTGATGCAGTTGAGGACGTGCAGAGGCAGCCAGCTGAGCGCAAACAGGAAAAGAACCAGCGCCAAGGACTTGGCGATCTTCAGCTCCTTGCCATAGTACTTCTGGGGGTCATTGGAGCTGGAAGACACCTTCTTGTTGAGCTGCTTGCGGATTAGGTTGAAGACCTCCAGGTAGATGAGCAGCATCAGCAGCAGGGGCGGCAGGACCCAGACGAAGAAGTTGAAGTACACCATGTACTCCATGCTGATGACTGTCTCAAACTGGCACGTGATGACAAACTCCGTGTGGCTGCTGTTCAGCTCCTGAGTCCTTCGCATCTTGTTGAGGTTGTTCCACCCAAACATGGGAGTAAGTCCCACCAGAAAAGAGACTATCCAACAGCAGGCGATGGCCACGGCTGCCCGCCGTGGTGTCACCATGCTCTTGTACCTGTGGGAGAGACAACAGCCACAGGAAGGAGTTAGACATGGGCAGGATGCTCTGCTTGGGGGTTGTGTAGCTCCAGGTGGAGTGGTAGTGGTGGGGTGGCAGTGCCTGTGCTGAGGTAGGAGGATGCTCCTCCTTCCCTCCCCTGGAAGTGGCTAACAGCCTGTTCTGAAAATTGTGTTCACAGATTGGTTTCCCTGCCTGTGTCCTGGGATGGCAGAGACCCCAGGCACAATCCATGAGCTCCAGGGGATGATGTCAAGCCAGGGAATGCATTAGCACCTGGAATGGGCCTGAGTGTCCAACCCTCACGATTTGGAGGGATTTCATATGCTCATATGCCCAGCTCCCATCCAAGCACCTGCACCCAGAGCAGGAGGTCACCCTCTCCTCCTGCCATGCACCAACCCCAGCAGCTCACTGTCCCAGACAACTGCCCTGTGCCTGGGGAGGAAATGGCCAGCAAAAGCATCCCCTGGGATGTGCTGGGTGGAGGAAGGATCTGCAGGTGCTAATGGACCCCTGGGGAAGCTTTGGGCACAGCCTGTTCCTCTCCTAATGCGCTTGGATTGACAAAACACTCTTTCTTGATGGGCTGATGCCAGGGGCAGGAGGAGGAGGAGAGCTGTATTCTGGCTAGGCTCTGCTCCCTCCCTGATGCCCCTGGGGAGCCACCAGGGCTGGGCTCATCTCTCCAGAGCTCTGCAAGCGGGAAGTGCAGTCTGCTGGATTGATTTTTCCCCTGGCTCTCCAGAAAGCTTTTCTTTGGATGCTGAGAAGATTCTTAGCCCAAGAGTTATTGCTTTCCACCAAAGGGGATTGAATAAAGAATGTTTTCCTGACTGTTTGCTGGGTCTCTCAGTGCTGCTGGTGTTAACCCAACCATGGGGACCATGTGGAGGTGGCTGGCAAACCTGGTTTCCCAATCCTGCTGCTCAGAACTCTCCACTGCAGGTCTGCAGCCTTTACCTGTGATGGAAATTGATCATTTTGGGCGTTTTTTATACAGCCAAGGACCCAAACCCACTCTCCTTTCTCAAGACCCCTCTCATGGGCAAGGCATCAAGGTGGGTGCTTGGAGTGGCACAGGCTGGAGGAGAGGACTTCAGTCCCTGTGAGTCCAGAGGGTCCAGAGCCATTGGTCCCCAACAGCTTTCCTGAAGGAACCTCCTGTGCCCTGGGAAAAGCTTCACAACATCCTGGTGGCAGCCAGGTCCCATGGGAAAGAGGTGACAGTGTGGGCAGCTGTTTCCGCTGAGAGCCAAGGCTGGCTTTGGAGGGTGATTTATTCCTTGTGGGGAGGAGAGAGGGCAGGAGACCCTGAGAAAGGCTCAGGGCAGGGACAGCTGGGGCACAGGGAGGGCAAGGGGTGGTGGGAAAGAACCAGCACTGGGGGTCAAGTGAAGGGAATGGCAAGGAGGGTCCAAGGGAGCAGGGGGTGGCAGAGGGATGCCAGAGACTCCCTCTGGGAGCGGGGCTGTGTGCTGACCCCTGCACCCCATGTCTGGTTGCAGGTCCTTGGCGGGGGGCTGATGTGCCCTCCAGCTCTGACACCCCACTGCCACCTCGCCAGGCTTGAACAGCTTGGGGAGTGACACCAGAAACAGCAGCAGCGCCCCCTGCCCCAGCTCCTTCCCTCTCTGCAACCCCTGCAAGCTGTGCCCCATTTCTCACTCCTGGGGGTTTCTGGGGTCTTCTACTGGACATGCTCCCACTCGGGGTGCTCCCTGACCTGCAGAGCTGTGTGGCAGCCTTTGCCCAAGAGACAAAGCTGCTGAGCAGCAGCGGTGTCACCACGGCCCCCAAATATGGTCCCAGGGCTGGCAGCCACCACCCAGACACAGGGTCCATCTTTCCTCACTGCACACCCCTCTCTTCCCATGGTCCATATCCATCCCTCCTCCCTGCATGTCCATCTCTCTGCCATGGTGCATATCCATCTTCACCCTGTGCTGCAGTCACTGCTCTGACACTGCCTGGGAGCAGGACCTGCCTCTCCCAGCTCCTGCCTTCCCTTTGCCCCACAAGGTTTGAGGGTGCACCTGCAGAAGCAGCCAGGGGAAGCCAGGACATCCTCCTCCAGCCTGTGTGTGACATGGTCACAGAAAAGTGGGTGAACCAAAACCCCATAGAAAACAGTCACATTTTCTTCTTCAAGCAACAAGCCAAGGGCAGAGGCAGCTGCAGGAAATATGCTTCCAGGCACCTGTGTCCACTGTCTCCATCAGCCCCACATGGAGAATGACAAAAGCTGTAAAATTGCTCCAGGTTCCTCCCTCCAGCTCACCAGGCCCATCCATCCACTGGAGCTCTCATGGAGCTCTCATGGGGCTCAGCTGGTCCAAAGTCCAACTTCAATTCCTTTTACACTCTATTTTCCTTGGAGGTGTCCAAGGAATGCCTGAGTGCTCTGGGCTGGATGATGAGGTGGGGATAGGTTACAGGTTGGAATTGATGGTCTCAGAGGCCTTTTCCAACCTAATTGATTCTGTGATTCTGTAAAGGGTGGAAATGCAAGATCCTACCTAATTCTCAACCCCTGCCACATGGTGGGAGGACAGTTAGCAGAGGGACAGGGACAGACCTTGCTGTTCCCAGCATTATTCTTGGTTATGCCATAAAGAAAATATTTTCTCATTTGTCTCATTTTGCATTAATATGATAGGGCTGGAGTTTGGGATGGTATGGGAGGCAGAAGCACTAGAAAATGCTGATAATGGCTCATAGTTAATAAATAATCTTATTATTCTCATCAGCACCAGAGCAATTACCAGCATCATTGCAATTTTATTACTGCTGTTATTTTTATTAACAGCTGTGACTAAAACATCCATGGTAATCATTACCCCCATCCTCATCCACTTTGGGTTTGTTTCCTTTTCCCCTGGGGGTTTGAGCCTGACTATAATTGGTAGATGTTCCCCTTGCTCTCCCTGAGTGGTGGTTTTTGCATCATCCCATCCCCACAGGGATGGGCATTGACCCAAACCCTCTTGGATGCAAAGTCAAGGAGAAAGGACCCATGACCATCCAGACTCATCACGAGAAGGGATGGGCAGGAACTGTGGTGTGGAACAAAATTGCCTTTGAGGGTTTGGAAGATAATGCCAAGAGGCAAAAAGGCAATTATTGATAGAGCTGTTTGCTCCCCAGGGGAAGGGAATAGGTGATGGGTGGAGGCAGAGGCCAACAAATTGTCCCCAGGGGCTGCACAGAGCTGGCAGGGAGACAGGGAGCAGCTCTCCAGGGCAGGATGCTGTCTCCAGGAGAGGCTGAGGATGGAGCAGACACTGAGACCCTTTTTCTCATGAAGATCATAGGATCCTAGAATGGTTTGATAGGCAAGAGATTTAAATCCCATCTCCTTCCCACCCCTGCCATGGGCTGGGACACCTTCCATTATCCCAGGTTGCTCCAAGCCCCAATGTCCAGCCTGGCCTTGGACACTTCCAGCCATGGAGCAGCCACAGCTTCTCTCTGCACCCTGTGTCAGGGCCTCACCACCCTCGGAGGGAACAATTCCTTCCCAATATCCCATCTAACCCTGCCTTCCAGCAGTGGGAAGCCATTCCCCCCTTGTCCTGTCCCTCCAGACCTTTGTAATGGCCCCCTGGCCATCATTCTGAAGACACCATCCACCCTCCTTTCCCTTTGGTCTTCATTCCCAGACTAAATTCAACTTCTTCTGCCACATCTTGATGTGTCCAGACCTCTGCAACCCTCTCTGCTGCAGCCCAGGGAGCCCAGCTCAGCCCAGGCTCTGCTCTGGAGGTGCCCAGCCCTGGGTAGGCAAAGGCCCTGTGACCATTTCAGATATTAGGGCATGTCTGAAAGCACCTGGAGAACAGAGCATTCACCTGGAGAACAGAGCATTCTTTGCTTTCATGGATTTCACCTTTGCCTTGGGGTCTTTCCCCAAGAGAGAGATGAGGGCTCATTTCCAACATCCCAACCCAGAGATAAATCCAAACCCAACACTCACCAAACATCTCTTGTTTTGTTTGAAAAAGATTCAAAGGCTCTAGGCCTGGTTTGAATAAAATGTGAAGGTTTTTAGCAGTTCTGTGATTAGTTTTCCTGTCCACAAAACACTTGCTGTTGTCCAGCCAGTGCCAAGATGTGGCTTTGCTGGTCTTTGCTCTGGAGAGTTTATTGCAGTGCAATTCCTGGGAAATTAATTCACTAATGAAGACAGACCATTACTAATGAAAAGAATCTGGAGCCAATGTGGCAGGGAGAAAGGAGGCCAAGCTGACATGAAGCTCATCTGCACGATGAACACAGCAAGAAAAAGCAGCCAGACCATGTCCTGATCTAATTGAAGGTCTCTAGACAAAAGTGCTTTGATCTCAGAGGATTTGGATTCCTGCTCCTTTCTCCTGGCTGTATCTTCCCTTCAGATCTTTCAGTGTCCTGGAGGCTGCTGGGTGGGAAAACTCAGATTGTTGGTGTTCAAAGCTTTGCTTTTGCATTTTTGGAGCACTGCTCTGGAATGAGAGCCTGAGAAATGCAAAGTGGTGTCTGGGTTCTGCAAGGGTGAGGTCAGCCACAGCTCAGGGCTGGGACAAGGGGGTCCCTGGGTACTCACACAAAGTGGGAAGTGGTGCAGAAAGAACTCTGATCGTAGAGCCTTTGTCACTATGATCTTGGAAGGGAAAGGTTGGTTCCTTCCTCATGGAACCACAGAATGGTAGCAAATGTGGGTTTGTGGCCACAGGTGGGTGTCTCACCATGTTAGTGGTGGCCTTGGGAGGGATAGAGGTCAACCAATATCAGTCAAAGCTGGTATTTGGATGGATATTACAGCTTGCTCCTACAAATGCTTGGAATGGAGAGACTGGTCCTGTCAGCACTGCCTTAGGATACATGGGGGACTGTCCTGATCCCCAAATCCCAGACTGATTGTTTGTTAAAACCCAGGTGGCAAGTAAAGGCATTAAAAAATGGTCTGGTCTTTCAGGCAAGCCAGAAGGACATGCAGCAAGGACATTGGTGTTTGTTGG